GTTACCGGCCTTTTGGGGATTAGGAGTTTGAGGATCGTTGAGGATTCAGAAATTGGGGAGATTGGGGAAGGGGTGGGTAATTTAATTGGGCCTCCGGTAACCTCACTCACACGACGAAACACAACGCAAGCGTTGCTTCACGTCGGGTTTCTGTGAGGCCGTGGTATCACTCCGGTCGAGCCAGCCCATTCGTGCCGAAGAATGGCTCTCCCACACTGTACTAATGCTAATATAAGGTCCCTAGTAAATAAAGCGTAAACTACCTTGATATGCTTTAGATTAGATAAGTATATAATCTCATACAATGATACACACTCACAGAATATAGATACTATTGTGCCGAAATTATCAAGGTCTGCCTATTGAACAACAATAGCGATGTGTTATAGTTCCATTACAGTAATATATATCTTATTTAACTGCGTAGGTATAATATTTATAGAGACTGAGACTGAGGGCTCCTACACAAAACTACGATACGACGTCGCATCGCAAAGATGTGCAAGCTCCCTCTACGCATCGCAAGAACTTGCGAATTGATTCGCATCGCGCATCAAAATAAAAATCTTATCTTCTTTGTTTCTTTTTCCTGTATCTCCTAAGTAATAACAGAAGTGCACACTTCTTTTTACGATCCATGTCATGACCTAGTTTTCAATTTATAATACGTTTAGTACGGTTGACGGTCGTCGAAGGAATGGTCACTCTGGGAGATGCCTTGTCGAATGAAATCCCATCGCAGCAATTCGCATCGCTTTTTTGTGTATGAGCCTTGACTGAGAGACTGCCTCGTTGGTCGAGTGAATCGCGCCTTTTATCCCCGAGGCCCGAAGGCGTAGGCAGAGGTGCACATTATGGCACTTAATGCCACTGTACAATGTTACACTCTCTTTTTACGATTTACGTTATGAGTCCCATTAACAAATAAACTTAGATTTCATAATAATGAAGACACAGAAGCGAGTAAAAACGCAAAAAAGTGAAAGTAGCTATATGTATATAATATATTTGACTGAAAATATTTTTAGTGTGTGGAAATTAGCGACAATATTTTCAAAGTTCATGTAATGTGTCATATTTTTTTAAATTTTTTTTTTAGGGGTAAATCATCGAATGACTGCTCCCGCCTGTGTGAGGCGGGAGCAGTCATGGAGTCAGTCAGTCCAATCATGGAGGAAGGTTGCCTATTGATGATGATGACGATCTATATGACACATTACCAACCCGGCCATCGCGAAGGACACACCGGACGTCGGGGATCGCGGGACGATCTCCGGCCACCGTAAGCGCGGACCTGCGGGCGGCGAGCATGGGTGGTTCGCCGCCCGACCAGAATCAAACCCGAGCTTGCGGCGCGTCGCGTTCCACGCGCGCCTCAAAGAGCCATCAGACCACCACGGATGGAGCCCAACAGGGCTGATACCGATTCGGAGTCGCGGAGAACCTAACGGGTTACCGGGGCTCCGGCTCGACGTGCAGGAGAAGGAACGGGGTGGTTTTTAGTCAGTAAGAGTCTTACACTCCCTCCCGCCTCACCCAGGCGGGAGCAGACAACCGATGATTTTCCCCCTTTAAAAAAAACGGTTTAGCTTCTTAGTATGTACTGAATATTGTATTCTATAATGGGGCTGGCGCTTTTCTCTTAGGAAAAAGCCCTACTTTTAAAATAAAGATAAACAGAGGTAAACATTAAGTGTGGGAAAGCCATGCTTCGGCTTGAATGGGCCGGCTCGACCGGAGTGACACCAAGGGCTCACCAAAGACCGACGTAAACTAACTCTTGCGTTGTGTTTCGTCGCGTGAGTGAGGTTACCGGAGGCCCAATTACCACCGCCCCCTTCCCCTTTCCCAATCCCTGAGTCTCCAACAATCCTCAAATTCCTAATCCCAAAAGGACGGTGACGCACTTGTAACGGCTCTGGTGTTCCTGGTGTCCATGGGCAACGCCGATTACTCACACAGGTGATTCGTATGCTCGTTTATCAGTTTCTATCATAAAGAAAAATTACTGCATAGAATCGCCTCGGAAATTCAGTAGTTTCATTATGTAACGTACGTAAAGAAGTTATAATTATGTTCAACATTTACATATATAGGTACGTATACATACATATTATCATATTGTTGAGGACACGTATTATTATTTTGCATTTCTCAATATCAGACACCACGATGTCTGTTAACCACAAGGTGATTAAAAAACGGCAACACTTTTTGGCAGTTCTAAAAGTGTCTAGGCGACACATGTAAACAGCAGCTCATGTAGTGTAGATGTCCAGTCAACAAGGATGTAGCGAGGTTGACTGTCCAGGCGACACACGTACTTAGGTATCGTCATGAGCTAATGTTCACATGTAAACAGCAGCTCATGTAGTGTAGATGTCCAGTCAACAAGGATGCAGCGAGGTTGACTGTCCAGGCGACACACGTACTTAGGTATCGTCATGAGCTAATGTTCACATGTAAACAGCAGCTCATGTAGTGTAGATGTCCAGTCAACAAGGATGTAGCGAGGTTGAATATCCAGGCGACACACGTACTTAGGTATCGTCAGGAGCTAATGTTCACATGTAAACAGCAGCTCATGTAGTGAAGATGTCCAGTCAACAAGGATGCAGCGAGGTTGACTGTCCAGGCGACACACGTAATTAGGTATCGTCATGAGCTAATATTCACATGTAAACAGCAGCTCATGTAGTGTAGATATCCAGTCAACAAGGATGAAGCGATGTTGACTGTCCAGGTGACACACGTACTTAGGTATCGTCATGAGCTACTGTTCACATGTAAACAGCAGCTCATGTAGTGTAGATGTCCAGTCAACAAGGACGTAAATGAATCAGCTCATGTAGTGGAATGAGCACCTAGCTTCACCTAATTTCACTGACGGACTGACTGACAGACCATTATTTATTTTGTATTTGTTGACGTTTCAAAAGTACCAAACTAAGGTTTAATTGAAATAAATGCTTTGACTTTGACTTTGACTTTGTAACCAGTTTTAGAAGTAGGGAGCACTTGTCGCAGAAAACCAGTATTAAGTATCGTATATTTAGAATTCTAGGGTTCAAATCCATGACCTAAGATCGTTAGGTCACACTCGTTATCATTGGGATTATAATAATAATAATTATAGACGGTTACTACTACGATAAATTAATCTTACGACTACCTTTCCATATGGCTTTGGCCGCTTGTAGTTTACTTGAAAGCCTAATTTTTTAAGAATATCGGAATAAAACCACTTAATGACATTCCTTTTTTGAGGAGGGGAGGGGGTCTTTTAATGACTTCTCTCCCCTTGGGGTGCGTGAGAGAGTGTCAGACTGGCATTGACTAAACACCACCCTGTTCCTAATCCTGTTTTGAGCTCCGGTAACCCGTTAAGCCATCTGCTACTCAATGGCAAATGCTTGGAAAGCATTTTTACTAATCATCATCATCATCATCATCATCATCATCAACAGCCTATAAATGCCCACCGCTGACCAAAGCCTCTTCTCATACGGAGAAGGATTGAGCATTAATCACAACGCTTGCTCAATGCGGGTTGGCGATTACAAACTTATAATTAGAAATTATAAGCCCAGGTTTCTTCACGATGTTTTCCTTCACCGTTTGTCAGTGGTGTCTAGATAATGTTAGAAAGTACATATAACTCCGAAAAAGTCACATTGGTACTTGCCGATGGTACGTTTTAATAAAATAACGTATAATAATAAATAAATAAAAAATAAAAAAGCCTTATATTTCTTACAAAAATACAAAAATAAACTTATTCCTAATTTTATACATCTATTCCTAATCTGTAATTCTAAAATTAACTATTTTATAAATTTTATTATATAACTATTTATATAACGTATTTTTTTTTTTTTTAAGGGATAATCATCGATCGAAGTTCCCACCTGGGTGAGGCGGGAGGGAGTGTCAGACTCTTACTAACTAAAAACCACCCCGTTCCTTCTCCTTCACGTCGAGCCGGAGCCCCGGTTACCCGTTAGGTTCTCCGCGACTGATTTAAATAAAGTATAACATAGTTATTTATTTCGTTTTTAGTTCGCAGTTGAGGTGACTCAATGTATACATGTACTTATGTTTGTGTGTGTGCGATTATTTATCTCGCGATTGGCTGAACCGATTTCGATTCGAGGAGAAGGTTTTAGTATAAGTTTTAATAAACTGACTTCAGAAAAATAGTGGGTTGAAGTCGGTTTTTTTTAAAACGTATGTACATATAGTTTATGAAAGAATTATTTAGATAAATAACATTTTGTAATTCTTTAATTTAATGATGATTTTTGTGTATTTTTTGCGGTAAAGTACTTTTTTTCGTATTGAAGATTCAAGGTGACACAATATCATATAAGGCCACACTTTTTAATCCTCGAAGGGTAAGCAGAGTTGTGCAGTTTATAACACTCGCTTCTCACCACCTGTATTATGAGTCCCATCAAATAGTGGTTAGCTTATTACCTAATACTGGACTCAAGTCCAAACTCCGTGTTCCTATTGAAAAAAATCGAGAAATCATAAATATCTTGACTAACACTTTGCCCCTTCCGAGAATTCATGAACCCTTGCTCGACAGTCATAATGGCAACTACTCAACCAACGAGGTACCTTGTCATTCAAGGTAAAGTTGTCGTAAAATAGTTAATTTTTTCCCTATTTCGTAATTTATGTATGAATTCCTGAGTCGTATATGGAAATGAATATAAACTGTTAGGTGTTAAAGGGCAAAAACAATGTCATACGACCTATTATATGTTAATTACATAGTTGATCCACTACATACGTTGATAGATTTAGATTTAGAAACTCAGTACAATTTTATATGCAATCCGATTAAATATAGAACAAAAAATAAAAATAATATAACCTAAAAAATCAAAACTGACTAAAAACAAAGTTGTCAAAAAATTATAATAAAAAAATCAAAGCACTTTCATAGATGAAAATACTACAAAAAAAAATTGAATTATTAAAAAAATACTCACTCAAATGCTCAATCCCCGAGAAAAATTTCAAAAAAACATAAACAAAAACGAACCCAAAAATAATAATAACTGTAAACATATAATAAAAAAGTTTGGAATAAATAAAAAAAAAATCACATCACTTCACTATTACACAGCATGTTACCGACTGATTGAAAATGCGCGCCAACTTTGACAGGCAACTGTCAACCGTCCGCGGCCAGCGACGGACTAAGACTTGAATTCACCACTAATTAATTATTGAACGTGTTATTATTACGTGATTACTATCAACAAACTCTTTAATTTAAATAAAACCATCTAATTGGCTGTTTATTTGTTCACGCGTACACGAGAGCGTGCTACTGACAGTGTCATGCGTGCGTGATACTAAAATAAAGCCAATAAAGCGCTGTGTTGACCTTGAAGTAGTTTCGTGCGTCTAAGGAACGCGTGCGCGATAAGCGATGTACAGCGCTGTTTTTGCTATAGTGACAATATTTTATCGTATGATCCCTTGAACTTAGATTTTTATCATTGTTCTACTTTTAGATTTTAGAGATGGCGCATCGTTGTGATCGATTTTTTTGTTGTATTATTTACCTTTCTGATAATATTTGCTCGATAAGAAGTACTTATTGTCGCTAATCTGTTTTAATTTTGATGAATTACATAACCTATTTTCGTATCTAACCTAACCTATAAAAAGGAGTCGAGTGCCAACAAAAATAGACATTTTTGTTTAATGTTCGTCGAAAACTATTGTACGAAAAATAATTGTTTGTATTTTTTTGTGCAACAATAAATTGATTTCAAATATTGCATGACACAAACTATGCATTAATAATATTCGTAACAAATGAGACGTAATATTATGATGAGGAAACTTCTACTTCGACGGTGACCTAATTAAAGAGGTTTCACCCGTAGGCCCGATGCGGAGTATTCGAAGATGACCTGATTTTGTAATGATGATCGTAGAGGAAGCCAAAAAAGGACAGCTGTATCTATTAGATATTAGAACAAGGATCATTTCATTTCGCATTTATCTATAACTCAGGTTCTAGCTTGTCGCCCGCGGTAACGTAGATTTACTAAAAAAAAAATCATGCATAATTGCACACCTTTAGTTTCTACCTTGAAAATTACGGAATGCTCTATACAAACTTCCAGTTTGTATTAAAGGGAAGTGGAAAGTTAGAAAGAGCATCCCTTCAGTCGCGGAGAACCTAACGGGTTACCGGGGCTCCGGCTCGACGTGCAGGAGATGGAACGGGGTGGTTTTTAGTCAGTAAGAGTCTGACACTCCCTGCCGCATCACCCAGGCGGGTGCAATCATTCGATGATTTTCCCCCCTTAAAAAAACCATTCCTTCAACTATCTTCACCTAGAAAAAAAAATCACGTCAATTCATTGCTCCGTTTCGCCGTGAAAAACGGGTAGGTAAAAAAACATACACCCAATTTCGGATTTATAATATCAGTTCAACTGTCAAATACCAAGCGGTCACCGGTGACCGCAACCTATTGTTCTATAATTGTGTCTGCAAAACCGGTACTCGACGAGTTAAACGTTTGCACCTACTATTGTGTTTCTCTGCATCACCCTAAGGTTGACTGTTAGAGAATGCCACTTGGCATTAAGTCCGCCATTGTACATGTTTTTGTAGATACATTTGTATCTACAAAAAGTGTAAATAAATAAATATGGATTTAGACAACTGACTGTCTATTTAGACTTGCTTGACTTTAGAATTCAGTGACTGGTTCCAAGTCTGTTCCGAAGCGAGGTGTGAATCTCCCAAGTACTTTCCTGCATTGTACAACAAGACAATCGCCAAAGCCTGGCGCTTCATGGTAGATATCCTACCGGTTCGCTTCGCGGTACCTTGTCTGAACCGCTAAGGAGTGAAATTCTTTGCCAGAGTCTGTGTTTTTTTTGAGGATTGATCGTTGGGGATTCAAGAATTTGGGAGATTGGGGAATGGGAGGGTAATTGGGCCTCCGGTAACCTCACTCACACGACGAAACACAACACAAGCGTTGCTTCACGTCGGTTTTCTGTGAGGCCGTGGTATCACTCCGGTCAAGCCGGCCCATTCGTGCCGAAGCATGGCTCTCTCACACTTAAGTTTCCCGAAGGGTAGGTAAAATTAGAGTATCTTCAAGGCCCGCGTGATTAGGTTGTTTATGGGCAGGCGTGCTCCATCGTAGGCCGCATCATCGCTTACCACTAGGTGATCTAGTGGCCCCGATACTACGGAGCCGCGGAAGAACGGGTTGCCAGGGCTCCGGCTGCAGTCCAGGAGTAGGAACATGGTGGGTTTTAGTCAGTAAGAGTCTGACACCCCCTCACCCGGGCGGGAGAAGTCATAGGATGATTTTACCCCTCAAAAAAAAGGTGATCTAGTGGACTTCAATCCCCTGTTTTTTTGAAGTCAGCTAATTAATATACTAAAACCTGAATGTAACAAACACTTTTCTGAAAACCGCATCGAAAGCGGTTCAGCCAATCGCGAGATAATCGTTCATTTTATTTTCTTTCTTTTTTTGTTTTTAATCGTTGCCCCACACTAGGATTATCTCCTGTGTCGTGGGTGCGTTTACAAACATACAAGTTCACATACACATGACACCCAGACCCGAAACAACAATTTGTGGATCACACAAAGTGTTGTTCCGTGCGGGAATCGAACCCGCGACACGTTGCACGGCAGCCGGTTGCCCAGCCACCGCACCAACCGTGCAGTCAAATT